AGATGTGTAGTGGGGGTGTTGCTTGAAGTGTTACATAACAAAATTAATTTTCATGGGAAGAGAAGAAATATTAAATATTCAAACTTGTATGATATTACTTTATTGAAACATCTTACATCAGTGTAATACAATGTAATGTAACACAGTTGTGTTGAATTTGTGAAATCAATAAACAATGAAGTTACATCTACCATATCAAAAAATAACAAAACATCCTACAAATTTGTAGTGTAGGACAAATTTGTAGTGGAGGACATTTATCCTGATACTTAATGTTGTTCATCTGATTTTATTAAAATTGTAGATGTTCGGAAGTGGGGGGGTGGGGGGTGGTTCTAGAGTTACATAACATTTAGAGGGGTTTGGAAAAGTGTTACAGAGTGTTACGGGGGGTGGGGGTGTCAATATTTGCCAAAAAATGTGTTACATAATACTTGAATGACCCCTTACACTAGTATTAGCGAATATTTCAAATTCAAACAGTATAGAAAGAAATCTACATAAATCTAAGGGCTTAAGTATTAAATAAGCCTACCGAATATTCAATCTAGATGCAGTCTCTTATTTTAGGATTTATTCTTTTTGCTTTATGTATTGTATATTCTAATTAATCCTTATTGCTATAATAACTAAATATAGATTTTGAATGACAAAGAAAAAAAATCTTCTGATGTGAAATATAGTTTTCTCAACCGGAATTCAAATGCGGGGTACTCCCGGCCTTTTTTTAAAGAACGCTGTACACTCTTCGGAAAGAGTGTGTAGGTTGTTCTCCGGTTTACTGTCAAACCACCACTAGAAAGACCCCACTGGAAATAAGTCTTCTTCAGACTTTCGTAGGTTATCCTTGGTGTTTATACCAAATAAATCCACCCTTCCATCCAAAGAAGTTGTTGCTATTCTTATTATTTATTATCTTATGCCCATTGTTCTATAACCAAAATACAGTTAAACCCCTCTTGGTAACACCAAATGGGACGCCCTTTTTGGAACGAAACCAAAAAAGATATACCTGTAATTTGTTTTTTTAATACTCAACAAACCCCTATTAAGAGGACACTCTTTTAGTAGGGGTTCTGCTGTAAAATTATGGGGGTTCTGTGTTTGTGAGACAAGCGAGTATACCTGAACCTGTTCTGATTGGCAGGTGTTAAATTTGATTGACACTCAGAAATTTTCCATTAGAATTGCTCAGTCGGCTAAACTGGTGTTAGCCACTGTAGTTAGGGCAAAATCAACGGAATAATCCCTTTTTTCCCTGTCAAGGTTTTCTCAGCGGTTTCATCAAATTAGCTTGAAATCCACCCAGGGTTTTGCCTCAAATCCAAGATGGCCGCCAAAATCCAAAATGGCCTCCAAAATCAAAACTATTTACAAATGTAATTAATTCGCCCATTAACTTGTCACTGAACTTATATTCTGTGGTCCAATCAACTAATTGTATTGTTAACTTGATTCTGATTGGTTAATACCATTTATTATTCTTTATGTATGTGTAAGATCTCCAAAGTTTTCTCACTTTAACGTTGATAAAGATAGCAGGAGCTATCGAAATATCCGTTTGATTTTGTGTACCTTAATAAATTTGTGTTCCGCAAGTCAACTTTCAATGATTGTACACCGTTTTTTCATTGCTTTTGCATTCTATTTTACTTGAGTATACATGCAAACCCACTCCACGAGTGTTCATACATGAATAATATAGAAAGACTTTTAGAACACAATTTATTTCAACATCAATCTTTCGACCTGTCCTCATGACTGATTTATAAACACTATGTACAAATTGGGATATATATTATGGATTGGTTAAAGTTAACCATAGTGCCTTTAATTATAACAACAATAGGTATCATCAGGCCTATAAACAAGTTGATTTAAACAAAAGGGTAATAGTGATAAGTATAGAGAATAAACAGCAGGTGACTGTAAGGCAACACAACTAAAACGTCCAATATCGGTTTTATTGAGTTGGAATCCTTTATATAGAATACTGTCGTCTGCATATTTAATTAATTTAATATTTATGTTATTATAGGATATACCTTACACTTTGTTTGACGAACCGCGGTTTACCCAGAAACTCTGCACAGAGTACTGTACAAACAAATACGGCGATAGAGGGCATCCTTGGCGTAAACCACGAATAAAGGCAAATAAACTCGAAGAAACACTGTTATTTATGACACAACTATAAATATCCTACAGTAATTTTATCCAATTTACAAAAATATTTTGTGTTACAAATTTGTCTAGTGCATAGAAAACAAAATCACATTTTATTTCATCGAATGATTTTTCAAAATCAACGAAAAATTGCAAGTTCGGAAGATTATTTTTTAGTGCATGTTCAGTAATGTGGAAATTCAATATTCTCACCAATATATCGTCCCTTAAGGAATCATGTTTAATCAGAATTAATAACAGATGGTAGTACAGTACTCTTTTCAGTCGTGTCGCAATGGCCTTAGAAAAAATCTTGTAATCAACGTTCAGTAATAAAATAGGACGCCAGTTTTTCAACAGTACCGGAGACTTGTCTTTTTTCAGACTTCCTGTATGAAACGAGTATTCTAAAGAATTTGTCATGGTGTTGCTAATATCTTTCCAAAAACGTTGGTAAAATTCAGCTAAAATTCCATCGGTCCCTGGTGATTCATTATTTTCCATTGCATTGTTTTTTTTTTTTTCGAGAGTTGTGTCTTTATCGCTAATATCGTTTATTTTCCATTTTTGTAAGAAAAGCATGTTGTAATTTTGTTTTTCTGATTTATGCAGTGTTTGATGAACACCCTTTTTCCTCGTTTAATAATAATTTCT